ATAATTTTATATAATTATATATGAAAAATTTTTCATTGGGAGGATAACTTTATTTTCGGTAAAAAAGTTAAGTTTTTGTTTACTGAAAAGATTATCTAATGTCCGCCCGAAAGATAACTTTTAATGTCCAAAAAGATATCATTTAGATATAAAAGTATCAAGTTGGTACATGGATACAAATTAAATATATACTAAATGATAACTGTAAGATGCGTAAATGAACTAGCTATTAAGGTATTTTTTGGGAGCGTCGAGCGTTAAAGCGGTAGCCAATCAACGTGCAACTTTTCGCAATAACTACAAGTATACTTCTGGGACCTGATACGTTGATTGGCTAACGCTTTAACACTCAACGCTGGAACGCTCTATGTATTGGCACTTTTAGCCAAATGTAAACTGTTATTTAATCGATGTCATATTAATGGAGACGAATTATTGACATTGACTTGTTATCTTATAGATACGTTCCAAAAGTTAACTTTAAGAACCAATAGGCAACCTGTTCTATTTGGGGAATTTGGTAGCTTGCACTAGTACGCACTGAGTGCGCGCTAAGGCTTGTTTACAGTACATTCTTATATTTAAGATCGTGTCTTATTACATATTTAAAAACATTTTAGCTAATAAAATGATTCGTACGGATGTTATACATATCATATTACTGGTTAAAAATATTTGAGAATTTATTTAAGATAATCTTTAAATATAATAATATACTATAAACAAGCTTAATGCGCACTCAGTGCGCTCTAGTGCAAGCAACTAAATTCGCTATAATTTAGGCTGAGTTCCCACTTAGTCCGTCAAGCGTCGCGTCATCCGTTGCGGACCAATTAAATCGTCCTATTTTATTGCCTAATTTTACGACGAATAAAATGGAACGATTTGTGCAAGTGTTACGACTAGTGCAATAAATTGAAGTGAGGCAAGTATATGTTTTCTCATTCTAACCTTTTACATTAGTTCAGCAGTTAAAAAAAACAAATCTTTAAATTATATCGTAGAGAGAATTATATGTAGAGATTTCTCTTGGTACCAACATTATCCCCTCCACTTTTCGGGAAACGTCGCCTAACTGTCTCTTAGGCTGCGTTCAGATTCTTCACCAGGGTGTATTCTATTACTAGAAGTGCTATAGTTTATGTAACATATACTGTAGTGTTTCTAGTAATAGAGTGCACCTGGATGAGGAATCTGAACGCACCCTTATATCAAGGGTCTCTACTAGGCGTTTTTTCGAGACGCCATCTAATAAAGTGCGTCTTTACTACATTCGTAAATTTTATTAAGCGCACTTTGTTAGATGGCGTCTCAAAAATACGCCTAGCTTTGACCACTAAAATCAAGCTAGTGGTCGCTCTCAGGCTTCTCTTTGGTTAGACCCGTTATTTCTGTAAATTAGTTCCAAAGTCTCCGCGATAAATCCGTATAAGTCGCCACTTACGTCATCGAGGAA